ATATATATATATATATATATATGGCTGAATATGCAAAATATGCAACCAGTCATGATCACCTCTAAAGAGGGCAACTGAAAAACATATTTTTCACTTTATTTACCCATTCTTGCTGCTTGAATTTTACAATGAGCATAAGTTTTTTGTTTTTAATCATTTTTTAATTGAGGTACAATTGACATAATATTATATTAGTTTCAGGTGTACGATGTAATGATTCAATATTTGTATATATTGTGAATGATCACCACAGTAAGTCTAGTTAACATCTGAAAACATTTTTAATTAAAAACGAAAAAAAAAAAAAAAGTAGTGGATACAGACCTAAAATGGAACCTCAACTTCTATGGTTACCAGCTAATATTGAAAAACACTATACAGTGTACATGTTTTTCTATTTTGAAGATTTCTGGTTTCATGTAAATTTTACAAAATAAATGAATTTAAACTTTGAATGACATTCATGAAACATGATTGTAAGAGGGGAAAAGCTCATTTCTTGGTTAACAGATGAACAAATTTGAAACACATAATTAATATTAAAGGTATCTATTTTACCACCTCATTTACAATGCTAAAAGTTGTATGTTTAAGTTGGGCAGAAAGGTTTTAGGGGGAGCTTCACATTGGAAGATGAGGCATTACCTGTTCAACTCAGTCCTTTTATAGTCAAGCATGCATAATATTAAAACCATAAAAATTGACATGAGATAATTCTATTTTCAAAAAAGCAAGTACCCTAATTTATCTTAATAAAATGTGATTTAAAAATAGAATGTCTTATGAGTGCCTTATAGAACCAATGTACTGATTTAGAGGCAGTTATTAGATTAGTCTGAGATCTACTATTTTTTTTCACATTAATTCAAATATTTTTCTTAATTGAGGTAAAACTGGTATATAACATAGGTTTCAGGTGTATAATTCGGTATTTGTATACACTACTAAGTGATCTAGTTATTATGCATCACCACACATTTGAGCCTCTTCACCTATCTCACCCACCACCCAGCCCTTTTCCCCTTTGGTAACCAACCACCACTCTGTTCTCTGTATGATTTTGTTTTGTTTTTCAGATTCCACATAGAAGTGAAATCATATGGTCTTTCTCTTTCTGACTTATTTCACCTAGTACAAAACCCTCAAAATCCACCCATGTTGTCGAAAATAACAACATTTCATTCTTTTTTATGACTGAGTAGTATTCCAGTGTGTGTGTGTGTGTGTGTGTGTGTGTGTGTGTGTATGTGTATTTTACATCTTCTTTATCCAATCATCTATGAAAGGACACTTAGATTGTTTCCATACCTTGGCTATTGTTAACTAACACTTCAAAAAACACAGAAGTGCATATATCTTTTCAAATTAGTGTTTTCATATTCTTGGGATAAATACCAATTAGAATCTTAAGATTCTCCAGCAAAAAATAGAGTTTATAGTCCTAAAACCTTTATAAAATTAAAGCTTTTAAATAAGTGCAAACCATATCTTGGTAAACAAATATGTACCAAGAGAAGGGGTATGGATAGTAGAGCAGAATTTCATCGTAAATTAATTCTACTCTTTCTCAATAAAAACATTTGAGTATGTAAAATTAGGCAAGTGAAGTGTTTATACCCTTTGACCGAGTCATTGTATTTCTGGGTTTCTAAATAAAGCAATTAAACAGTGGATTGATTACATAATTATGATTGTCTATTCAACAGGTATTATGCAGCTACTTTTAAATGGTAAATATTAAAACTGCATTTTAGTTACTTGTAACACATCTGAGAATGAATAGGAATATGAAAAAAACAGCTAGTATGTTAGCTGGCAAGAACTGCAAGTGATTCTTTTCCAGAACTTGGCAACTCTGTCTCAGCACTACTTTTACAGTTATAAAAAAATAAAAATAAAAATGTTTCACTTCTGCTACTATGTTGTATAAGCATGGGGAAAATACAGATACACACTATACTGTTAAAATCAGTTATTGATTGGGTTTAGAGGAGAAGGCAGCTTTTTTTTCATTATATAACTTTTAGTTGTTTAAATTCTTAAAAGAAACATTTTTAAATAAAAAAAATTTATTATTATTATTATTAAAACACTCATGCCGTTACCATAAAACACAATAAAAAGTTGTCAATCTGGCCTAAGCCAGTTAAAAAATACTATTAGCATTCAATCCCTTCTACAGTAATTGTCCAAAGCAATGCAATAACATTTGTCACCTATTTATTGATTTTAAACAGTGTACTTTGCTGGCAGCCCTTAGGCTGTGCTGTTTGTGGCATGACACAAAGGCACATCGTGGCAATGCCATTCAGTAAACACGTTAGCAGAACTAATAACCACATTGGTGGTCTGTGGAAACCTTTGAAGTGAAAAACATCAGAGCTAAGTCAACCTTTGTCGTCTTCCTTTTCTAATTTAAAATAAATAAAGTATTTTTGTAGTTAAACTTACACTTTCCCCTTCTTCAGATCATTTCTAAATTAACCATAAAAACCCTTTCTCCCAACAGAAAGGAAAGCTTTTTATAGCAAAACATTGAGTCATCTCCTGGACCCCAAGATGTGCACCAGATAGAAAGTATGTAGATATTATAGAAAGGGCAACTCTAATTTTAGTCTTAATTAGAATGCAAAGATGTCAGTAAGAATCATCTGTATAATTCAAAGCATTCCTTGTTCTTGTACACTTCTTTGAGGTTCTCCTGAAGAGGCATTTATAGATTTATAAACTCTATAGCCATTCTAGAACAAATCCCTCCAAAGGGCCCCAATTACAAGGTCTCCCAAGGAACCTGATGGAAACGCTGGAAGAGTGGGGTCTAAAGAAAAGGGTCACTCAATTCAGTTCTTTCTTCCCTTCTCATGGAAGGCAAACATTAATTTCTGTTCCTTTATGATAATTGAGAATCAATTAAGAGAGCTTAAGAGCTTTTTCAAACTGTGAACAGTAAGAAAAAAATGAGCTTGAAGACCCAATTATCTATAAATATTCATAACAATATTATTCATAACTAAAAAGTGCAAACAACCTAAACATTCTTCAACTAATGAATAGTCAAAACAAAAATGTGGTGTGTATACACAATGGAATACTATTTAGTGATGAAATTAAGTACAGTAAAAATAAATGAAATATCGACACGTGCTACAACATGAACCTTGAAAACATTATGCTAAGTTAAAGAAGCCAGTAACAAAAGATTACATATTGTATGATTCCACTTATGTGAAATGTCCAGAACAGGGAAATCCGTAGACACAGAAAGTAAACTGATGCCTGCCTAGGGCGAGGAGAGCTAGTATGCAGCTCTCTGTGGGATGCTGAAATGGCCTAAAATTAGATGATAAGGATGGCTGCACAATTCTGTGAATATACTGAAAAATCTATATACTGAATTTTATGGTATGTGAAATATATCTCAATAAAGCTGTAAAAAGAAAGAGTTCATTACTAGCTATTTAGTTTTAGAAAATAAAATGTAGAAGTGTAAGCTTAATTATGCTAAGGGAAAAGTTATATCAACATAACTATTATTAAATAATTCAATTATCTAGAAGTTCTCCAGTTATGAGTTAAATAGATTTTAAATCCATTTATGCCTCCAAAAAAATTACGTTCCTACCTAGCCGTTAAAAATTCCAAATACATAACATTGTCATTAAGCACCTATAATAAATGCCTTTTAATTCCTGACAGCTGTTTACCAATATACCCAAGATTCATCTGTGCAGTTTCACCTTCTAGTGATTCCACATGTAGCACGTCCTGAGGTAGCTGGAAAAAAAGTAAATCTGTATATATTTATACATTAATGGCTTCAGAGGGTTGAGAGTAGCTCCTCTGAAGTCTCAGTCTAAGAGTGTATAAAAAAGGCTGTAACAAGAAAGTTCTCTTTAGAAAATAGTGTTTGGAACTGGTCTACACTAGTGGGCCAGAGCTGGAATAGGGCTAACAGCACTTCGAGATGCCCATCCCCATTTATTGAGTCAACCTGAAGGGGTGGAGCCCAGAAACCTGCATTATTTAGACAAGCTCCTCTGGGAGACTGACATTGCCAGGTAAGGGAATTACATTCCTGCTAATTACCACTTAGCTCACTAACAGGAAGGCAATCCGAATAAGAGGTGCTGCCCTTTACTAGTAACATCGTCTTTTATATTCTTAATTTCCTACAGATGTATTTTCTTACAGAAAAATAAATGAGAAACAGTAATTTTTGAAGAAGTGTTAAAATCTCTTCTGCATTCTGAACATGGGATTAATAAATATATCAAACAAATTTTATGTTCTGATGGGATAGGAAAGAATACTTTTAAATTAGATGGGCATCTTTGATAGTCTCTAAAATATAATCTTTAGTCTCTAGTCAAGAGAATAATGGAGTCTTAGGAGTGGTATTTAAATTAAATTTAATTAAACAAAAACATCACATACTTCCACCTTTCCAGAAATGGTCACTTCATTTTAATTAAGGAAATAGAAACTGTTATGACTTCAGTCTTCATTCTGTGACACATTCTGTGTGTTTGGACAAGTTTAGACAGACAGCAAAGCTTTAGAAGTCCTACCACCTAACCGACAGCACTGTGAAAATGCTAAAGCCAACACAAGTCTCCATCTGGCAGTTCAATGTGAGCTGCCAAAATTTAGTCCAATGAGGCCTCCGACTCCAATAATCTAGGTTCTTAGGGGTCTATAACCTTAGGGTCACTACTGTCTCCTCTTGACAGCTGTCCAGGATGCACGAGCTCTTCCTGTTGAGGCTTTCAGTTAGCTTGAGCAACTCTGGTATCGAACCCATGGAAGTTCAACATGGTCGTCACCAACTCTGGAAGATCGAAATCATGTTTCCATCCCCAGTCCTTCCGAGCATTGCTGTCATCAAAGTTCATTGGCCAACTGTCGGCTAGGAAAAGATATGGAAGAGGAGCTTAAGTTTTTCAGGCTCTAGAGTTGCAAAATGTCTCCAACAATTTTATCGAAAGGCCTATCATACAAAGGGCCACAAAAGAAATCCCCTCTTTCAAAAGCCCCCTTTGAGCAGACCAGAGCAGCTATTATGCACATACATAGTCACTCTCTTAGACTGGAAGACTGTATTACATGTCTACTGTCAGACACTGTGAATTGTCACATACTATTAAAATCGCAAGCAAACTCAGACAGTAGGAATCTTATACTCAAACGGTGCTCAGGGCCACAGAGTGGCACGGTCACAGCATTTAAAACCCAGGGCTGTTTGCATATGATGTCTGCTTGTTTTATGTTTAAACTATAAAAGGCTGACAAGCTGTTTATTTGCAATGAAACTATGCCACCCCCTTTAGATATCATTTCCCCAAATTGCAGCATCTGCAGGCTTTGGCTCAACAACAGCTCCTCCAGACCCTGGGGAAGGCACCGTGCTGTCTTTCTCCTCCACAGTTTATGTCCTCAAGGGACTGCCAGTGCAAACTGAGGTTTCATTCTGGTTTTGAAGGGTTCGCAGTGATGTACCAACCTATGGCCTGTCGAACAGAATCCACGTTGTAGGTGATCTGGAATTCCGGTACGTGCTTCAGGACCTCCTGGGCCAGTTCCTCAGGGGAGAAGCTCATGGCGTTGACATTGTAGGTCCTCATGGACAGGGACTCTGCCGGGGCCTCCATGACTTCCAGGGTGGCCCTGAGACAGTCATCAATGTACATCATCGGGAGCCTCGTGCTGGGTTTCAGGTTGCACTCGAATTTGCCGTGCTTTACAGCATCATGGAAAATCTGGACTGCGTAGTCTGAAAGAGAATCCTGTCTGTGGGTCTTCTTAGAACACAATCATGAACGCACCTCATGGATTAAGGCAGTGGTTCTCAAATATCTTAGTCTCAAAACCTCTCTGTGCTCTTAAAAAAACAAAACAACAAACTGACAACCCCCAAAGAGGTTTTATTACTGTGAATTGTATTCGATGTTTACTACATCAGAAATTAACTGAGAATGCATATGTAGGATATTTTTATATGAAAAAGAACATATTTTCCAAACAAAAGGAAATTTAGTGAGAAGAAGGCGTGTTTTGTTGTGAAAATCTTTTTACTATCTGGCTTCATAGGAGATAACTGGAGCGCCCCATTCGCTTCTGTCTTCAGTCTGCTGTGCTATCACCATCACATACCCGCTGACCAACCCCACAGTACATTTGTAAAGGAGAGTAAAAAGGCAAAGAACATCTCAGTATTGATATAAAAGTAGTGTCGACCTCTTGGACACCTTGAAAGGGTCTCAGGGATCCCCAGGGATTCCCAGTATGTACTTGGAAAAGCACATTATTAAGCCAAGGTCTTTTTAAAAGTAACCCAAACCAGAGGCTCCTTTAAATTCCCTGGGCTTTTGTCAAGTATCTTCTATATTGTATCTCAGGACCCCTCATTGGGAAGGATTTCTAATGTCGGAGTTACTGAATACAATTCATGCTTGAGTCCAAACCAATGATAATCATAGTACTAATAATAATGATAATGATGTTTATGTTCCTTTTAACTATGCAATACATAGATTCCATTTCAATAAGGTTCTCTGTCTTAAGAAATAAAGGCTGTATGCAAAGAAACAGGCTATTTCTTATTTGCTGTCTTCCTACATTGTGGGTAACAAGTTTGTTCTTGAATATCATCTGTTTGATTCCAGCACTGTGGGTGGCTGACCTGAGCTGGATTTATAACACTGGCAAGTCAATTGGCTGCAATAAGCTTCTTAGATGCACTTCCTGGAGAGAATGCAGAAACTCAACATACGGCTAAAAAGATGGCAGATCTATCACCACCCTTCCCTATCTTACATACAAGAAAGCCCATCTTACATACAAAAAAGATAGGAAACAACACGTACCAGTTGTTCCGCCTCCAGGTTGGGAGTCAGCTGAAATGATGCCAGGATATCTCAAGCATCGAAAATCTAACCCATACCGGTAATAATAATACTACAAAAAAGAGAAAACTCACTTTAAAAAGAATCTTTGAAATCAGATAAAATAATACAAAGAAATAATAGACTTTTTCGGAAATATTATCCCATGCAGTTATATTAAAATTCTCCTCAAGGAGAGGAAGACTCTAGAATTTCTAAGTGTCACTCATTTTTCTTTAATAACCCTTCAGTTTTTATCTTCAGGGAATCATCATTCTGGGGATTCATCAACATGGTAAATAACACATCAGCCTACAGTAGGGATTTCCAACCTTTCATTGGAAGGGAGTCCCTGCTCACGGTCCTACACAATTCTCCATGAGCAGGTCCCTGCCATGAAGCACTGGAAAGAATACACGGGAGGCCAGGGGGTGACACAAGAGCAATGACTGTGATATATCAGCTGAAGGATCAGACACCAACTAAAATCTACTATAGAGTTACAGAAACAACGTATATATAAAAAAATAAAACCAAAAAGACACTTGAAGCTTTCCATAATATAAAGTTTTTAAATTACTACCAATAGCTACCAAGACTGGGAGCCTGAAATAATAGGGCAGTGCAAATGAAACAGGCAGCAAATGCCATGTGAGGGGCCTCCAGCAAGTGTGAATGTTACCATATAGCTGAGGAGTTCTGGCGCTATCGTACTTGCTGCTTGGCAAACACAAGCAGTTTAGGAAGCATTTCTGGGGGCTAGAACCAGGGAGCGGGAACGTCCCCTCCAAGGATGAACCAGCAGGTGTTTGAGGCAAAAGGAGTAGAGAAGGAAACACTGAATCATCTTGCCAAGTGATGCATTGCCAGAGACGAAGACCACCTTCCAGAGCTGTAAAGGAGAGGCTGGTGCAAGGCACACTCTCTGGCTGTGTTTTTGCAAGGCTGACACTGCATCTCAGCATACAGAGGTGGTTTCAGTACACTGGTGATAAAACATCCTGGATCCAATACATTTGTTGCAACATTGGTTGCAAACATCCTGCAGCTGATGCATGAAACATCCTCTGCCCATGGCCATTTCCTTCCCTTCCTTGCCCCCACATAAGCAAGACTATATAAGTAAAGCACGGCTGCTAGACTAGGTCACTGCCTTCCCATCAGGAGACAGTTGTCCACCTAGCCCCTGCTTTCAAGTACTTCTTTGTCTATCTTTTCTTAATCCTCCATCGCCCCCACTCAGGCCCGTACGACTAGCCGAGCTGGACGTGGCAATGCGTACTTCTCCGATGAGCTCCGCGTGGACTTTGGACACCCCATAGATCGTCCTGGGTCTCTGGGTGCAGAGATCAGGGGTTGGGTTCCGGGGAGACGTGGGTCCAAAAGCTCCGATCGTGCTGGGCACGAACAATCGCAAGTTGTGTTCTGTGGCCACGTCCAGAATATTATGCAATCCTGAAACCAACAGACAGTATCACAATCTGAAAAATCTCTTACCAAAGAACTGGAAAAATTGGGAAACAGGTCATTGTGGACAAGATTCAGAGACTTACCTGTGATATTTACGGCTCTTGCCAAGGATACGTTTGCTTCTCCAACTGCACTGAGCAGAGCGCTATAATGAAACAACCAGGTGATGCGGTGGTTTACCACCGTCTCTCTAAGATTCTTGTAATCCAGGATGTCGGAATAAATAAATGGGCCTACAAGGAAAACGGTGAAATGACAGAAGTAAAAAAGTTTGGGGTTTGAAGAGCTAAATGGACTTTCCCCACTCCCCCGTTGACCTGTGAATTCCATCAGTACCAACTTGGTAACTGAACCACTTGGACACCACATGGCATTTTTGTTATGGAAGAATCACCAACTCCAACCACCCCACAGCTGATAATAGCTACTGCTAAATAGGACTTAGACTTACAGGCACTGTTCTAAGGGCTCTCTGTATGTTTAGCTCTCACATGGCCTTTGAGGCAGATACACTGATTGCTGAGGAAACTGAGGCACAGAGTGGTTAAAATTTGCCAGGATCAAATAGAGAGTAAGTGGAAGAAATGTCACAACCAGGCAGCTGCTCCAGTCTGCATTGTTACCACCAACCCTACATGCAGAGTGACTTCACTGTGCTTAAAAGTTGCAAATTTTAAAAGAAATAGAGAAATGGGTTGACAGAATAAAAAACAAAAAACCATGGTACAAAAGAATGACAAGTCATGATTTCATCATATCTGGTTAGGCGAGAGGTGGAGCCAATTTTGTTCAACGCCAATTTTCCCCACCAATAGCAAATTACAGCACTCTTGCCCACTGTAAGCTGCAAAAGGATGACACTTGAACCAGGCAGGATTGGAAGATAGTACAAAAACGATTCTGAGCTAGTGGAAACCTTGACTACAGGAGTTTTGAGATTGTGTGTGTGTGTGTGTGTGTGTGTGTGTGTGTGTGTGTATGGTAGTTTACAGTAGTTTAAGCGCAAGGCCATGTTGAAGTATGAGGATTAATTTCTCCAAAATTTTAAAGTTCCTTTTCTTCCTTACAGAGCATGATTTTTGCTTGTTTGCTCTCGGAGCCTAGAACTTAACTAAAAACTCAAAAAGATAGGAATCAAAGTTTTTATTCCAAAGATACTACTCCAAGTGATATCCAAAGACATTATTCCAAAATTTTACCTCACATTCAGAAGAACTCTCGCGTTCTTATAACACTTGAATAAGCAGCAGTGTTACTGTAGACATTGTACAGAACTACTGAGAACAAAAATATTAAATTTTTTAAAGTGACACAACTGTGCCTCAACAACTTCTCTTCCTTTAATTCACGAGCCTGGTTATGAGCTGCCCTTCCAGGTGTACTTTGAAAATTAAAGATAAAAATAAAAGCAAGACAAAATGATCTCTTACCACTACGGAAGATGTGATCAGAGGGTTTCCGTATGTCAGACAAAATCACATTGTCCTTCCCAAATCGTTTCCTGTAAGGAAAATCAATACACATAAGCTAGTACATCTAGGATATAACTTGTCCTTTGAAAACAATCTTTCCAACAGAAAATATAATTTCCTGCCAGCCTCCAAATCCCTCCTTTTCATGCCTTTTCTCCCTTTTCTTCCCAACCACACACTCCTTCAGTTCTGGCCAGACTCAGGCCCCCTTCTCCCTACTCATGGCCCCATCTTCTGTTTCTACTCTCACCCCATTAACACCCCTATAGTTGCCACCAATGTCTTCCTAGTACCCCTAAGTTGTTACCTCTCCCTTCTCATTCTTCTCTCCTCCCTTCTTATCCTTTCATCCCACTCTCTCCAAATCCCACACTGTTCTTGTCAGTTTCTGTATGCACGTCCCTCTGCCCCCAAACATCTAAAAATCGAGTGATTCACTTAAAGTTATGTGTCTTACGCTGCCTTAGTTAGAAGACAGAGTGGGTAAAGGATCGGTGTGGGAGACGTTGAGTCAAGGACCTGCAACAACGCCTATGATATTAAAAGGCAAAATGAAAAGTATTTTGAACAGTTGTTTAGATATGGTATCTTAAAAAATAATAAGGGGCAGGGGGGAGAGAAAAGATGAAATGGTTAAATGGTACCCAAGACATGCTTCCCATACTGAAGAACTCAGATTTTAAATTTCAACTTTCAGAGCTCTTACCTCAGGGTGTTAGCAAGCCCCACGCCCAGCTGGCCAAGGCCCCCTAGAGGATGGGAAAAGAAGTAAAACTTAAATCCAAATCTAACCCATGCAATTACTCCCAGAATGTAATAATGAGGTAAGACTATATTTATCATCTTAGCTAATCAGGGAAAGCCCTAGGTTGGCCTGATAGAATCGAATTACCTCCTCCAAGCAATGACAGAAATGAACACAGGTAATGTTAGTTTCAGAGACAAAGCTCTCTCCCACACAGAGTGGCTGAGGAGGAGCAGGGTGCAGAAACAGAAAAATCACAAGAAAACTGGACACCTTCTGGCTCCTTGGGCCAGGAATTCACTCCCATCGTTGCCTTGGTTATTTGATGGGCTCTGAAGCTTGTCCGCTATGGGTAACAAAATACTCAAAGACACATATAAAAGTTTGCATCAACCTCTGGTGGGGTTTTCCAGAACCCCATCCTCCATTAGAACTAGAATAAGATATGAAAGGAGAAAGAGGTGGGGACAAATCAAGAAACCATCTGAAAAAAAAGGGGCTGATAGCTGAATCGATATGGAGTCATAAACATAAACAAAATGGCATTAAAAATGCCACTGATAGAAACAGGAGGGTTGCAGGGGTTGGGAGCACATGTGGGGGAACAAAATCATAAATTTCATCTGAGAGAAATGAATGAGGCAGGAAGATGCAGAAAACAGGATTTCCTGTAAGCACTGGTTAACATGGGACTAAAGCCAGGCCCACAGATGCTAACATGGCCCTGAAAGATGCTTCGTTAGTGGCGGTAGGAGGGAATAAAATGACACACAGACAAGCTGGGCGAATCATGGAGGAAAGCGCAGAGGGGACCCGACTGTACTTGAAACCCATTCATAGTGAGAGAACAGGAGGCAGTGAAAGAAACACACACACAAATTGTGATGAGAAGCCAAGAGAAGAAACCCTGGCAAGAAGAAGGAAATAAAACTGGTTACTCAAATCAGGGGTGGATTTGAGTTGGCTAGAAATACATGGGAGTGACAGAGTAAAGTTTGGAGTGAGGAGAATATAGAATCAGGTGTTGGGTGAAAACCAGGTAAGGATGATCAGGAAGCGAGGATGAGATGGACAGCAACGTGGGATGTGGGGGGCAAGTTCCTCCAGACAGCCCCTAACTTATCTTCCCCAACACACAAATGTGCAGTAACTGCTTGGGATGAATGACCAAGTTTCGATTGAGGAGTTTGGCCAAGAAAAGGTGCTCCTGATCCCAGAATCCATGCTCTAGTCCCTGCACACTCCCTCGCTGTGAGCCTTCACTCCCAGGCTGATCCTAATAGGCATGGGGAGCCCAGTTCCAAAGCAGCTTTTGGGCCCCCAGCTTCCGAGGTCCTCCCTCAGACAATAAAAAATTATGGCAGGGAAGAAACCAAGCGCTGGCAACAGGGATGAAATGAGGATTTGGGACTTGCAATATTCTGGAGGAAGCCAAGCGTGGAAAGGGAAGTTTCTGATGAACAAGTGTCAGCTGGTGGCATGTTAGACGTTCTAAAAACAAATACATAGCCACAGAGAAGCTAATGGAATATAAAACAAATACAGCCACAAAGAAGCCAAGAAAATAATCAGCTGCAAAATAATGCACGGGAAAAAGGGGAAAAAAAACCTCAACCTGTAATTAGGATGCGTGGCTGGTCTGTTTCAGAGAAAGAGGCAGAGTGGAAGTTGGCATCTGCCGGAACTGGCCAAGAGGAGGGGCCCAGGACCCGGCCCGGCAGGGCAGCCGTCCGACAGCAGCAGGCAGTGCCCTGCAGCACCTGGCACACAGCTTGCCGCAGCATCCTAATGACCACTGGCACTTTCTCTGCAAGTACCCTGTAAGCAAAAGGAGCAGAGTTCATTATGTTACCTTTTATTCTCTCAAACCCTCAAAACAAACGCTTTAACCAAAATTCACACTAAGATGGTCAGCTCATGAGCAAAGCCATGTTTTCAGTTCATGAATTGAACTAAAGAGACTGCCAAGTGTGCCAGTGAAGAGCCTACTGTGAGCCACGCCCCGTGAAAAGGGGCTAAAACCGTGCTTACGCCAAGTGCAGGCAAACAAAGGCTGGACGGAGATTTATCGTATTTCTCCATGTATAAGACGCACCCTTTTCCGAAATATTTGGAGTCTAAAAACTGGGTGCGTCTTATACAGTGGTTGTAGATTTGTTTACTTGCATGTCCCGCTTTTTCGCGCTTGTTGTCTTTGCGCTCATTGTTTCACACTTGTTACCGGTATATTACGGTAGGTTACGTTTTGTCCCGTTCTGCCCACAAATGGCTCAGAAAAGATTTTCATACAGTGCTGAATTCAAGTTAAAAGTGATGCAGTTTGCAAAAGTGAATGGAAGTCGTGCTGCTGAACGTAAGTTTGGTCCTCCTCCAACTGAGAAAACAATCCGAGACTGGCTACGGGAAGAAGAAACCCTACTGAAAACACCACAGCAGAAGAAGGCCATGAGAGGCAATATATGAAGATAGTGATTCATCATCAGACACAGATGAGGACAAGCTAATGGTTGGGAGTTTTGACAGTGATGAGGAGTTGTATGAATTTTATGATGAATAAAACTTNTGGGAGTTTTGACAGTGATGAGGAGTTGTATGAATTTTATGATGAATAAAACTTGAGTTCAATAACTTTATGTAATACATTTTTTAAAAAAATTTTGGGCCCCAAAATTAACGTGCGTCTTATACATGGGAGCGTCTTATACATGGGGAAATATGGTAGAATCAGAATTGCACGATGCTGACATCAACTGGGATCTAATGTCACAGCAGAGGTCACTGTATAGAGAGCCATACACCCCAGAAACACCAAGTCAATGGATCCTAGGGAAGGCTTTAAATCTAAACAACTGTTATCAATCTCTCCATGCACCATCAGAGAGTACAAATAGGTCTCAAGTTAAATAACATGGTGTCCTGTAAATCTTGTGCTAACACTCTGATGTTATCTTTCGAATGAGCCAGACTAGAAAAGTAGGGGGTTAAGATAAAAAGGCCCCAGCAATATTTAGTAAGCCATGACTAATTTCTGTTTTAATGTCATCCCATTAAAAAACCATTTTCCCCTTTCTTCCCAGATCAGGTATATTTTATTTTAGTCTAGCTTCTCCTCATCACTTTGACTGCTGACTGATCATGAAATCAGTTCTGGCCTCAAGAGGTCAAGACGGTCCAATCACACATGGCTTGAGACCAAACAATGCATGCAGGACTTCCATTTTCCCTTTTCTCTCCCCAGCAACCAGGCAAGCATGTCACCAGAGTAAATCAGAGCCTCACAGCTTGCTTCACTGGTTCAAGCAGCAAACTTCCCAAACTCTAATGTTAGGCCTATTGCGCCCTGCACACAGCCCCATGGCCCTATCTCTGTCAGTGGTAAGATTTCCAAAAGAACTGGTAGATGAACCTTCAGAGCTGACTCTGCTGCTCCACCCCCTCAAAAGAGATTACCAGATCTCCACCATCTTATATATATATATTTTTAGCTGAGCCATCCTGCTACCTGTTGGCAGCTCAGCGGCTGCTCAGCTCGGGCTGGACTCGAACCGCTGTGGCTCAGAGCTCAAACTCTTGAGCGAGCTCTTAACCAACTGAACCACTCGGCCGGCCCTATTTTGCATCATGAAAGGAGAAAAGGTAAACTGCAGTTGAAGACATTTCCAGTTTAAGATATTAATTTAGTCTACTGCCATACTCAACTCAGTGCTTTGAGTAGATAACAGTAATTCTAAATGAAAACACCAGAGGTAACAGGAACTTTTTTCTAAACCCTGAAGTCCAAATTATAGAAAAAAGGAAAATATAATCTGAAAACATATGCTCTGACATTCTTTTATGATCCATGCTGGTTTAGTTCTTTAGGACACTGAAATAAGGCAGGTAGAGCCCCAGCAACTTCTGTTGGTTTAGTGGCTTGGCCCCAACGGGTTCTCCAGCATCAGATGCAGTCCTACAAACCTTCTCCTGAGGCCCTTCGTCCTGACTAACTTCACCAGACAAGGAGAAGAGAACCTTCTACTGGCATGTCTCTGGCTTCATGTTCAGGGTCAGGATTAGAAGGGAGACATCCAGGGTCGGCCATGTTGCAGGAAAGGCCTAAGGTTCTCTTTAAGCATCTATTATCCTTAGCCATTGTTGACACCCAAGTCCAGGTAAGAACTTTGATTCTTAAAGTTCCTTATTTCAGCAAGTTCAAGGGGATGGCATGGAAGCCAAGAAGCAGCTAGATTTACCAGAACACTTGAAACTCAGACAATTCTCAATTCCAAACACAAAATAATAAATGGCCACAGTTGAAAAAGTTTTCTCTTTTTCTTTTAAAGGTTGAGGAGACAGCAGTCAGGGAAAAGGCAAACCCCGAAGGTGTGAAATTGTTGGGAGCCGGCTGCACCTCAGTGTCTGACATGGCCTATCACACTATTGTGATATATCCTAAAGCTCTGGCTGAGAAACAGATACTGCTTTATGTTTTGGAAAACTTAAATTCCCCTTTGGATGCCCCCAGTAGGATAAAGATCTGACACCCCTTCTTATATTGTTTTATTTACTTTAAATAAGTGAGTTTTGGACATAGTATGATAATTTTGTTTTACTGTTAGTTTCTTAGCGATAGATTCTTAGTGATAGACAAGTTATGTACCTTATAATTCTTAAGATCCTGGTTAGCCAGTAGTGTTTGAAACAGTTGCTAAGTAGTAAACATCCTTTAAGTGCCAAGGCAGGAACTCAGCTCTGGCCATTATCAGAAGAAATTGAAACATAGTTAGGATAAGTTAGTCATGAGTGAAGAACAGATCGCTGTACCCTGTAATATAAACATCGTGAGGAAATAAAATTCTGAGAAAAACAAACTTCTAAGGAAAATAGACCCTGGGAAGGAAGGAACATTGAAACTATGTAGAAAACAATTTCCTAATGGGTAAAGGTTTAAACTTGGAAATTCCAACAACTTTGGAAAAAACAGTTCAATGATGTAAATAGTTACCTGCCCAGTATAAAAAGGACAGGCTGTAAAAATAAAGTGAGACATTAATTTTTTTTTTAAAGATTTTTATTGGGGAATTGGGGGGATGGGAACAGCGCTGGGGAATTGGGGAAGGGGAACAGACAAGTTGCTGTCGTTTTGTT